TTTTATTTATATATATATATGACAAAAACAATGGCGACCTCAAGCATCAAGACCATTCCAATAATGGCGATCCCAAATTTCTCTATTTGTCACAAGCTCGAGCTCCTCAAGGACGAAGGCAAAACACACYACCSGAAACGCSAAGAAGAAGATGAAGGGCTAAGCTACGAGTTTCAAGAGATGRTAGAGTCTTTGCCTAAGGAGAGAGGTTGGAGAACTCGTTACCTTTACCTATTCCAAMGMTTTTGGTGCCAATCCAAGGAAATTCAAGCTATCATTTCATTCCAKAGACATTTCCAACCACTRCAAAACGACGTCGTTCTCGCCACCATACCTAAATCCGGTACAACTTGGTTAAAAGCTTTAACTTTTACCATCCTTAACCGACACTTGTTTGATCCGGTTTCCTCAAGTACCCACCACCCACTTCTCACATCCAACCCTCATGACCTRGTACCTTTCTTCGAGTACAAGCTTTACGCGAACGGAGACGTTCCTGARCTCTCCGGTCTAGCCAGTCCAAGAACGTTCGCAACACACATCCCTTTCGGTTCCTTGAAAGATTCGATCGAGAAACCAGGTGTGAAGGTCGTGTACTTATGCCGGAACCCGTTTGACACATTCATCTCCTCATGGCATTACATCAACAGCATCAAGTCGGAGTCAGTGAGCCCGGTCTCGTTAGAAGAAGGGTTTGATCTGTATTGCAGAGGAGTGATCGGGTTTGGTCCGTTTTGGGAACACATGTTGGGATACTGGAGGGAGAGCTTGAACAGYCCAGAGAAAGTCTTTTTCTTAAGGTACGAGGATCTGAAAGAAGACATAGAGCCCAACTTGAAGAAGCTTGCAAGCTTCTTGGGACTTCCTTTCACTGAAGAAGAGGAGCAAAAGGGAGTAGTGAAGGCGATCTCGGATCTGTGTAGCTTCGAGAATCTAAAGAAGTTGGAAGTGAACAAGTCAAGCAAATCGATCAAGAACTTTGAGAATAGGCACTTGTTTAGGAAAGGAGAAGTGAGTGATTGGGTTAACTATCTGTCGGCTTCACAAGTGGAGAGATTGTCAGACTTAGTGGATGACAAGTTAGGTGGATCTGGTCTCAGTTTCAGGTACGGCTAAATAAAGCCATGTGCTCGCGTTTCTACTCTAGTGTTTGAGGGGACTTTTTAAGTTTAAAGTCAGTTGTTTTGTTGTTACAGATAGAAGAAAGAAAACAATGAAGCAACGTCCACGATCTAGTTTGTCGTTTTTTATTTTAAGAATAATATGTCATTGTGTTTGCCAGTATGTTTTTATTTGTACTACACAAAGTATAAATATCATGGGTACTGCTATGAAGCACGGGTACTTTGTTTTGGTGCCGTCTTCCGTACCGGAAACGTCCTGGAGAACGGTACGGCTTGGAGACACCACCAAAACGTCCCCGAGATGTCTCTAACATGTTAGGGACGTCGACAATTAACGGAGACGAAACTTTTCTAATTTAAAGACGTTTCTCAAACGTATTATGTTAAAAATTAGTGTTTCAGTTATTTGTTATATATATTAATTATTTTTTTTAAGAAAAAATGAAAATAAAATGTATAACGTAAAAAAAATAATTATGAAATAGGGTTTCAAATTTATTATACATCTCATATATAATCGACATTCGTTTTTTCAAACAGTTTCGATTCTTGACTCTTTACAAGTCAACAAGGTTTGTTTCTTCAAATTACATTACTCCGATCACTGTATGTTTTTCTATCTCTAATACATCTTTTTCTTGTAATCTAAACTCTATTGTTAATGTCAAAATAACTCTAATTCTTATATTGATTGAGTGTTCTTTTATACCGAGATTTATGATGTAATTTTCT